ACCACCACCGCGCTTCCCTTCGCCGCCTCCTCCAGATCGGCCAAAAAGATGGCCTTGCTCATGACCGTATTCGGTCCGACCCCAATCCGCTCCATATACCGCGCCGCCTTGCGCTCCGCCCACCACGCTGCACCAGACTGGCTGACCACTACCAAGTTATACGCCGCGCTAGCCATCAGTAGGACCAGCAAGACCCGGTGCGCGGTGATAATCTTGAACACCTTCTTGACTACGGCAAACGCCCACATCATGACCGACGTTATGGCACTCTCCAGCAGCGATCGGCCCGTCTCGAGAATCATGGCCGTCAGTGACCGCACCCGGATGGGTTGACCCTTCTTGGATCCTGACGCAGCGCCGGAACCGTCGAAGCCCGCGTTGGGCGAGAAGACCACGACCTGTGTTTGCTGGCCAATGTTTCCATACACCTGAATGGCGCGCTTGGTACGGCTGTGGGGGCCGAGTCGGCGGACCTGGTCGGTCGCGACCTCTGCGAGCTCCTCGGCGTCGTTGGCGGCGTCGTCGAGAGCCTGCCGCTCGACCATGTTCTTGGCGATGGCTGGGGCCTTGGACCAGTCGGCCTTTGTGTAGATGGCGAGCTTGCACTTGGACTTGGCGACATGGGTAATGACGACCTTGGTGATGAGTTTGAAGGCGTGGGAATGGGGCAAGTGCCATGGGGTCTTGACGTGGGTGACGACGTAGGTGATGTGATCGTTGAAGATGTCGATATTTTGTGTGTCAACGATGTTTGCATCCGTTTTGCGCCCGAGCATGTCGGCTTTATCGACTTTGAACTTGAACTGGCGCGCCATCTTGCCACCGTGGTCTTTGAGCTCCCAAGGCCCTTGAGCGATCTCCTTGGCCCGGCGCTCGAAGTAGAGCTTGGGGAAGATGAAGCTCTTGTCACCAAACAGAACATGGAAACACGCCTTGGCGCTAATCTCGAAATTCCGTTCTGCTACAGGTTTGCCCATATCCTCTGGTTCAAAGTAAACAGGGTGCGCTGGTAGCTGGAACTTGTGCATCGGAGCTTTCTTCAAACCGCGTGCTCCTCTGATAAACCGGCTACTCAAGTCCCCGATTCGACGTTGAACCGGCCTACCCTGGGGTGTTCCGTCATCCATGGGCGTGTTCGACGCAACCTCCTCCCAACTTTCCGCACTGGGGCTCCTCTTGTCGAAGCTCTCCCCTTCGAGGTTTACCAGCGCAGTGATGATCTCTTCTAGGCTCATTGGCTCGGCGGCCTGGAGATCATCGACTAAGAGATTGAGTCGAGCATGGAGGAGTGTAAAGTCCTCCAAGAAAATTTTCATGGTGATACGGGAAATGTTGAGATCGCTGGCATCCTGATTCAGATGCAGGAAGATGTAATCACAATCTTTTCCAGGTGCCGCCGTGACTTCTGTAATGCTGTCGAGACTGATGGCGTAGGCAACGACGAGACCAAGCTGGTGACCAAAGAAGTACATGTTATCGGGCGTCACAAAGATACGTCCATTAGCAGCCATGCCTCTTCCTTCCTTGCCTTCACCAGACGAGTTTGACCAGGCAGCATTGAAAACCAAGACCGGCTTCTCCTCCGGAGCGACAGTTGGAAAGACCAACCGGAACTGCGCATACTGAGCTCTCAACTCTGGAGGATAGTTGGCCGGGAAGGAATCGACGAGTTGGCCATGCTTCTCCTGAATCTTCCCATGGGCATCAGACGCCGCATCCACGCTAAGGGTCTTTTTGTGCAGGCTGGCAGTCGAGGCCTTGTCGCTCGTAGTGCCGGGAGCTTTCGGCTGGACGACACCTACAAGCGGATCGTCCAAATCAACCTTTGGCGTTCGAACAGTTTCAGGCAAAGGCGTAAAGGAGGATGCCCAGGGATTGCTGCCCCAGTAGTTGGCAAGGACCGCACTCGGCAGACCGCGATTGATATCTGCGGTGGCGCTGGCCATAACAGCGGCTCTGCTGAGATTCGTCGGGACCGGAGGTTTAGATAATGTTGCAGGCGCAAGACTGGTAGGGGCGTGATCAAAAGGCCCGCCCAGCGAGGGAATTGGTACCCGCACAGCAGGAGTCTGGGGCGCGATGGGTGAGATAGGGCTATTGCCTATGAGGCCATGACTTGCTGTGATCAAGTTGGCGATACCTCCAGAAGACTGAGCTTGCGTATCCGAGTTGGCAAGCATTGCTTTCCTGTGCAAATCCAGCCTCTGCATGAGCCGGGCAGCATGCTCCCGGCCGCTCTCGCCCTCCTCTCGCGCTAATGTTGTCGTGATCGAGCGCCGAGGAGGGTTGGCAGCGGCATCAAAACTGGCGCGCGCCGCAGCGTCGGCACCAGGGACAGCGAGTGTGGCCGTCCGCTCAAGGCCAGGGCCCGGCCCATCACCCTCGACGCTGTCAAGGGATTTGGCTGAGAACTCGGGAATCGTGGACGGATTAATGGAAAAGGCAGGATCAACGCCCCCGCTCACAGCGTTTGCCTCTCGGCCCATTGTCGCCTCAAACGCTCTCTTCTTTGCGACTTCGAAAACCTCCAGCCACTCCATCAACTGCGTTTGGGTTTCGGCCTGCAGCAGAAGTGTCTGCGTCTTGGTCTTTACCTCAAAGCAGAAGCGACGTTCCTCCTGGACAGCCGGCTTAGCACTACAAAGCAGCACACCGATCTCGTCTCCCTGCAGCACACCCTGGGGCCCATTCATAAGCCAGCCGAACTGGAAATTACGGCAGTAGTACCACCGGCGCACCCAAGTTGTCCTCGCCGGCTTTCCCGACACAACTCGTAGGAAGAGCCACCCTTGCTTCTCTGCAATCACATCCGTCTGATCCTTCTGCTGCATGTTCATAGGTCCTCTAGACCCCAAGTATGGCACCGTAGACACGCTATAGTCCTCGATCTCCCTCGAAGGCTTATAAACTGCCAGTGTCGCCTCTCCAACCTCTTTTCTTGCCGCCTGCAGCTCTCGCTTAAACAAGGGCTCATACGACTCCATCTCTTTAGACCAGCCGCGTATCCTTTCCAGCTCCTCCGCCGCAGTCGCCGCGCCCAGGGGTGCGTCGCCCCGCGAGCGCCGCATTTCCCTATACATGTCCGCGCAAACTCGAACAAGCAATTTGTCGAGCGCAAAGCGCAGCTGGGGTGCCGACTGGCAGAAGTCCATGCTAGCCTTGAGGTACGCCTTGCGCGTCTCAAATACAGCAAAGGCGTCCTCGCGCAGAGCACTCGGCTCTTTGGTCTTGTTTTGGCTCACGTAGCGAGCGAGTGTCGTGTCGAACGTTTTCTGGGCCGCCTCCAATGCTCGCCGAGCCTCTTTGAATGTGCGAAGTTCACCATTGACGAAGTTGCGGATGGGCTCGACGCTGACGGGCTCGAGTCGCCGCACCGTGGCCATCACCCCGGTCCACCAGTCACGGGCGCCATCGCCGGCCCGCCGGAGGGCTAGGAAGGTATAGTCGGTGTCAATGATGGCGTCGGCTTGGGCGGTTGCATTGACGGGTGGCGGCGCAATCTTTTGGAGGTAGGCGTGAATGCTGTCTTCGAGTGCGAGCAGGTCGTTGACCACCTTGGATGTGCTGCGGATGTAGTTGTCGAGCCATCGCTCGATCACGTCAAGGTTTTCGGAGAAGTGGACGGTAGAGGCTCGGAATGTGGGAGAATCGAGAGCGGCTTCGTTGAGGCTCACGGGGTTGGGAGCGCCAGGGCGTAGCTTCTTGGTCAGGGGTAGTTGCGATTGCGTTGTAGACGAAGGACCCTGGGTAGGACCAGATGCCGGCTGCGTCGATTGCGGTTTGCTCGGAGCCGCGGCGGCCGGCGGCAGGACGGGGAATGCCGTGGTATCGGACATGATGTGTGGTATTCTGGGGCAGTCGAAGGGGATAATCGGCGGCTGCTGTCCACAATTATGACGATCTCGTCCCGTCTGTCCCGTCGGCACCTTGTAACAAGGGCAGGCAGGGCAGCACAAAGGCTCGGGGAGGCGGGTTGCACAGTCGCGATCGAGGTGCGAGAACCTTTCTGGCAGCTGGACCGACCGAGTCTTTGACGGTAACAATGGTGGTGGCGTATTAGAAAACTACTCTTGGTAGCACCATCCATAAAAATCCCTTTTGATATCTCGTGATCTATTCAGCTTCTCCTCTCATTATCGATTAGTAGGTTTGCTAAAAAGCCAGTCGCTACAGTTGGCGCAAAGGGTGGTGCAGTGAGTTGGTTGTGGTGGAGTTCTTGTTGGAGGAAAGTTGGTGGTGGTGGTGACGGGATGGACGTCAATCCAATGTAAAAGGAGACAAGGCGGGATCAGTATCAGCTCCTCCTTAGCAACCTATACTTTTAGCACACCGTCATTCAGCTGTCGTGGAGACTTCCACTTCCACTTACTAGGTAGGCAGTGCCTGTACTACCGCAGCCTGGACCGCTGCAAACGCAATGACGTTGTACACTACCTAGACGGGACGGGACCGAGTGGTCGCTGGCCACGCAGCCGTTTCAGGCTGGGTACGATGGACTGGAACGGCAATTCGCACTGGGCCCGGGTAGGTACCTCTACTGCGTAGGTGAGTGACGGCCCGAAGTGGAAGACTGGGCTGCAGTGAACTGGAATCGGGCTGCTGATCCCCTGAATCGAAGCTTCCCACCGGCTGCCACGGATTCTTCCGTTCCGCGTACTATGGACCCGCCGACCTGCCCTGGGCTGGGCTGGCTTTCAGGGCCGGTGGACTCTACCCTAACAGGAACCTAAGGAAACCCCATTAGCCCTGTGGCTTGGCTTGCAGAACCCATGGAACTCCGCTAGGTAGGTATTTAGTGGACAAGGCACGCCCTGGCAGCGCACCCGACGCTAACGGAATGATTCTCATTTCATGGCTCCGCTCATCGTTAACAACAACACACGGGAATGCGTGGTCGAAATCGGACACAAGACTGAATTGAATATTCTTCACAAGGAATCGATGGAAGTGAAAGCGAGAGTTTGGAGACTTTTGGAAATTGGCACTGACTGCACTACCAAAACGATCAAGCGAGAAAGCTTGGGAATCTTTGTTCGCAACTAGACAGACCCGGTTTGATAACCGAGCAATATGGTACCTTATCCATGCCTCCCATTCATACAATGAAATTCCTCATTTGTAACAGCCTTCTCCTAATCATACATCACGAACGGGACTCATAAGTGCAATCCCCTGCCAGGTAATTGAGGGTCCCGCTTCCCGCTATCGCCATGCCCCAATCGCATTACCGCACTTTCCGACCTTCCGCTCTGTGTTCTACTGGCTGTTCTCCATCACCACATCTTCCTCCTCTCCTTGTTGCTGCCATGACTTTCTCACCATCGGTGATACTGAAGTCCCGGAACCTGCCTCAAACTGGTCGGGAAGGGCATATGTCTTGTAGGCCGCTCTGTCGCGTCCTAGTAAACAGACCCTAGCAGGAAGCTCGCCCCTGGTTTTGCTCGCTTGTTGAACTTCCATCTGGATGGGCACAAAGCCAACCGCGTCAAAGAAAAGTGGAACATACGGCACTTCTGGATCTCCTATATCGATTGCTTGGGGTCTCTCTCCTACTTCGTATGCTGTGTAGGTTAGGTTGGGTGACTGATACCCGATCCTCACCAGTGCAGGGCTTTGCTCATCTGACATGGGAGTTAGCTTCATCTTCTCTGGTCTGGTTTTGTCTTTGTTAATAATTCCAAGCCGACTGACCTTTGAGTTGGCTTAGCACGAGCAAAGACTCGTCGTCCAAGAACTTGATATCAACCACGCTGGCCCCGTTGGGAAGGACCAGACTACATGCACTGCTAGAGGTTGTGCCGCTAACGCCGTTGGCGACCGGAATCGCGGTTCGTACAATGAAGACTACATCCAGTCTTAGCTAAATGCTCAACGATGCCATAAAAGGGAGACATACTCTTGTTCTTGTCACTTTCCGGTACTGTAACAACAAATATAAGGACTCCAGACTCAGCCTGAAATTTCGTGTTAGCAATCAAGTGCTCAGGGAAAAGTGAACTGTATAACATGACTTACCGCACTAGATCGAGAACACAGATGAATATCATGCCTCCATATCTTCTCGCCAGTAGATATCTCCACAGCCTCGTTGAAGCGCACGCTTCGTTTCTCTGCTTCAGCAATCTCCTTGAATACGATAGCCGACTTGCTGGTGAGATGGTCTACCAACTGATCGACTTGAGGTAACGCCTTGTAATAAGGCTCACCACGCTCCTGACACTTCAACTGCTGATCAACCAGTTCCAGCAGAGATGTGCCATCGCTTTTGTCAACAACTCTCCAATCCTTCTCGCGCTCTTCCGCGGTGACATCACCAAGATACACAGCCAAGGGACTGCCCATCAAATATCGTTGGATATACGTCAAGACCTTGACGTTGTCCATAGTCGCCTCTTTCTCGGTCAACTCCTCAGCAGCTGCCAATGACGAAGCCAGTTTATCGATTTCCATTCGAAGCCATGACGAAAAGCAAGTGAAGTGGTCCAGCTCGTCCATGACCGCCAGTAGAATCTTGTACGAGACCAAGGTCAGCGCCGCGACCATGTCCAGAAGCTTCTCGATCTGCGCGGCGGTAAAGCCGATGTTCTCACGCGAGCCGTGGAAACGAGCGAGGCCTAGGAGCCGGCTGAGCACGATGCCGCACCTCTCGAGCGCAGGCAAGAAGTTCTCATGGACGAGGCTTCTGAGATTTTGCAGGCCGCTTACAACTGCTTTATCCCAACGCTTATGCCCCTAAATACTTGTCAGTCCTATGGCACTCTTTCACATCTCACTACTCAACTTACTCTCTCGGCTAGGCTGTCGACGAGCCACTCCTTCACCGGAGGAAACACATGTCCTGTTGCAACTGTGTGATACAATGCCTGGACAATGGTCACCGGCCCCTTGGGACTCCTCTCTAGGTCCTCTTGAACACCACGTAGAAAACGCCCAGGAAGCTCTCTCGTCGATTTCCACTCACTAACCATGTGTGACTGTGCCTGCTTCAGATATCGAAGGAGATTCTGAAGTGTTGTCGTGTTCGACGCCAACAAGGACAGGTTGATGGGCGATTTGTGTACAAAAGTGAGGTCCATCGGAACAAGAAAAAGGGATGTCGGACTACCCTCTTTGGGTCTTAGCAGGAGTGCGTGAGTAGGCACTTTGTGATGGGAACTATGACCGCAAAGCTGGAAAGGACCCTCGTTTGAGGCAGGTCCTCTGGCCGTATGCGGTGCATGTTGAAAGGTTCCAATGACAAATGAATCATAGATGCTGAGATGAATGCCTCCGTCGGCTGTGCCGGTGATCATGACATGTACATTGTCCGGGTTCTCGGGCTGATAAGGGCGGAACACGAACTCGAGTGATGCCGCGGTAGAGAAAACAAACATATCGTCCCTATAACCATGTCAGTTACACCATTTTTAGGTTTGTCTCCCGGCACTGCAAGCTCATGGGGTCCTGTTTACTTACCCGATGCCTCCCGACAAAGGAAGAGGACTAATTTTGGGGAGAGCAGTCTCGATTTCCAGAAAAGTCAACTCATGAGGGAGGTCCAGAACATGCTTCTTCTCATCGGGCATGAGATCCCGCCACGGCAAGTCGGGGAGGTCATTATGCTTCCTGGCACGCGACTGCTTGCCAGTTTCGTTTCTGGCCCAGGCGATGAACTCGATTCTAGAAGGCTTTCCACCATGACCTGCCACGCGGATGTGATGCACGGCTTTGTTGCTTTCCAAGCCGATCAACCTCACCACGCCGTCACTCCAGCCGACAGCTAAGAATTGGCCTGCGAATTCCCTGTAAGACAGTGGTTTCCCTCAACAGCCATCGGGAGATATTCACTTACCATCCTCTTTCCACTTGATTGCATCAACCTTCTGGTTTCGCTCTGTATGCTTCGAGACCAACTGATTGCTGCCACGCCAGACATAGATCGTGTTACCGTCGCCGACCGTGGCTGTCAAGTCAATCACGGGATTGCATGCAATTTGCTTGCCTGAGACTGGCACACCCAAGGCGCTTGAACTGAATAGCTGAAGCTGCCCATTTGGGGACATTTTATAGGATCCGTTGGCGACTTTCAGTTGGATGATGAATTTGGATGTGGAAAGCAGCGGCTAAGTGGTTCCAGCCTTCAACTCCGGGACGCAAGATTTTGATTTAAATGACACGCGCAAGTCCATAACTTGGCAAGTCGGTTTGTAAGTTTGGGCGATTTCAGTTTTGGTTTGCTAGACCTACAGCTTCACTTGCCTCGGCGTGATGTTGTTGTTATTGTTGCTGCTGTTCTGCGATTTAGTAGTGTGGTCTTGTCCTGCCTGTTGATTCAAAACACAGTGCAGATAGAGCGGTTGCTACAATAATAGAAATACTGTGCAGGGGCATTCGTACTAGTGTGTAGGTACAGTTGAACCCCCTAAAACTGCATGTAATTCAGACCTGGGATTTCTATGCACTAAGTAGCATCTATGCAGTTTCTAGATTGAAGCTAGGCCCAAATAGGCAGTCAACCAGTGGCCGAGACACTAAAATCCGACCCTATACTATAGATTTTCCTGCTCAAGACCAAGTCTGTAAGTGTATACGTACTAAAAATTGTCCGAGATTCATGTGTAGTATGTAGTTATATAGTTGTAGCTGAGAATTAATTCGGACCGCTGATTCTTATGCTCTAACTGGCATATATGCAGTATCTGGAGGATGCAGTTTCAGGGGGTTTGACTGTATAACCTTTACAAGTGAGCTAAGTAGCGAACTACACACATCGACATCAATTACTATACTCCGTGCTTACAACAGTGATGAATGAGTTGGATACTTAGCTCTTTGCGTAGATAGGCTTCTTTCTATATGGTACTAAATCATGAGGGTATCCATCCTCTTAGAAATGCGTAGGGCTCCTAGTTTACGTGTTACTTTCAAGGATCCCGAGGGCGTCAAGAACCTCTTGTTCAAAAAGTCAAGTATGACCTTGGATATCAACGGAAGAAAAAGAATGACAGCTCTAGCACCCACTGGCGCTGACCATGTACAACAGTATTCATTATAAAGGGAGTTGGACAACTCGGTTGCTTCCCATACATTACTCTAATTCTGGTGCGGAAGATGATGATCGAGACGCCTGGCCGGCATACTACGGTCGCCCCTTTTTGGCTCTGCTCAAAACAACGACAACAAACCCTACTCAATGAGGAACTTGTCGGCCACCGATCTGATGTCCTTGGAGAACGAAACCTCTTCACCCTCATCCACCAGCTCAACAGATTGAACCTAGAATGTGTCAGTTGTTCCGTCTTTACCCGTTTTTCTGACATGATGCGGCGACAACTTACATCAACCTCCACGAACGGCGACGACTTGGAGAACCGTACTTGCATCGGGAAGAACTCGTTCTCGTCATCCGTCTGCGCCTCAAACTCAAATGATCCGCTGGCGTTCTCCTCGCTTACGGTGCCTATCGACCACTCTAGACTGTCACCAGACACCTCATACACAGCGTCGAAGCTAGACACCTGAGGCTCTGCGCTCGAGTAGGGGATGACGACAGTAACGTCCTTGAGGGTATCTCCGCCAGTGAGCTCGTACTCGACCGTCAATGTGCTGTTGCCATCTGAGCCCTTGTTGACCCAAACGGTGAAGCTAATTGGCAGTGCGCTGGTGTCGTCGACTCTGGGACTGGCCCGCCACCTTAGAACTCCGACAGAGTTGTTAAGGGGGAAACCCTTTGTGATTTGAGACAACTGGATAGCCTGGGAGCTATTGAAGACATTCTTATCGACGTTCGGGTGAGTGCGGAACTGGGCGCCGTGGGTGGGTGTGGCGCTGAGGTTGAGCTTGATCCTTGAAAGCGATGGGTCGGAGACGCGAAGCTGGAGGTCACCGCTGACCGAGAGGGATTCGAGGGCACCATCCCTCGACAGCTTGGCACTGATTGCCTCGTTGATAAGGACGTGAATAGCATCCCTGTCGAGTGTCGAAGAGACTCTGGAAGCAGCAGGCTCTGCGGCAGCTGCCGGCGCGGCTACCGGGACAAGGGGCGCTTCCTCGGCCTCGTGTCCAAGATCCCCCTTCACGCGCTCGAAAATATCCGTATTCTTGGACTTCTTGCCCAACTGCATACCTTTGCCCTTTGGCGCATTGAACCTATAAGAATGTTAGCTTGCAGGCCAGCCAGCAAAGAAGAGGGACTAACACATACTTGGCCTTGTTCTTCTCGGCTTCATACGTGTCATAGGACTCGGTGACAGCAGGTCGCACCGGCGGGGTGTATGTGGGATATACCGGCGTCCGGGGTACTGCGGACCGACCAGTTCTGGCCGACTCCTTGCGCTGCATCTCCAACTGCTTGGCTTTCCTCTTGCGCTCTTCGGTAGCCTCCAGCTCCTTGTTGCGGGCAATGATTTCCTGAATGCGCTCCTCGTGGCTTTCCATCTCGAGGAAGGTCTTGATCTGGCTGATGGTGAGGTTCTCCCGGTAACCGAGGGTCACCAACTCATCGAAGGCGCTGAGCAGTTCGTAGGCATTTCGGAGGATTTCGCGCTCGTCAAGGCTCTTGCAGGTGCTGGTGACAACCTGGGCAAAAAGGTGGAGCGAGTCGATGTCCTGGAGGATGTTGGACTGCTTGTTGGTGATGAGGACCATGTACAGCTCGTCCAGGGGCTGGTAGACGAATCGGACATTGTCTTGCTCGACAATGGTGTGCTGGGTGCCCGAGTCGGCGGCCTTGGGGAACGAGGCGAGGAGAGCTTCGATGCGGGAGCGCTTGATGTCGTTGAAGGCGCGGGCTAAGACGGCCTTGCCGCCGCGGGTGCAGATGGAGGCAGCGAGGACAACCTGACATGTTCCGTCAATCGCTTCTTCCCACCAGGAGACAGGGATGGATGAGTTACCATTTTGACAGCAGTAAACAACAACCACGACTACTGACTCGAAGGGCGCTTCGTGGTAGTGCGGGGCGCTTTGGGATGCGTTGGAGGTAAGTCGTGAGCTTCACCTCCTGAAAGTTAACGTGGACGGGAAGGTTGATGTGGTCTTTCCGTTGCCGTGCTGAGGTGCGCTGTCGGTCAGGTCCAATTGAACTGAAGGTGCCATCTGGAGGGACCCAGCGGGCAGCGATAGGTAGAGGTACCTGGACGGCAGCTTCACTGCAGCGTCAGGGCAGTCGGGTTCAGGCGGGCCAGGGCAACCTACACGGCGGCAGCGTCCTGGCCGGCCGACGAGGGGCTGCCAGCTGGCAAGAGAAATCCAGGGGCACACCATAGAGGTAGATACAAGTACAGTAGGTGCCTCTACCTAGGCACCCACAGGGCCCGCTAAACTCCATGCGGCATTTGCTTACCTCCGTCTAGGTTCAGTTTCCTTCCTATGATCAATTCTGCGAATTTCACCGTTGTCCACCACACACTGCGGCAAAAGCAACAACTGCACCTCCCGTCTTTCTTGAACACGCACAACAGACGGCCCCGTGTGTCGAAATTTCACGATTTCCATTTCCGTCCAAACCATCGCCTACCTCGAAAAACAATCCGCCGTCGAGAAACTTGTCTCTCAATCGCGTCAAAGCATTGCCCAGCCAATACGAGTCTCGATTACGGATCATCAAATACCTACGCTACCTTTGTGACACGCCTCGTCATCAAGAGCTCGCTCGATTCCGTTGTACTTCACCCACTTCCCAGCTCCGCCGCTCCGTGAAAGTGAGGCATCGCGATTATCTGCCTGCCGCGTTTCAGCATTCCATACCTCGATTCGATGTGCACTTTTGCCCAGAGTATCCGCCCCAGAACTCTTAACAGCGGTTGAATCGTGTTGTCGGAACCCCCCAGTCCACGTGTCGCCTCACATCCCTTCACCGGTTCATTTTGCGCCCCAGAAGCGCCGTTGTTTGTCGGGCGTTCTTTGTCGAGTGCGGGGTTGCCCATTCTCAGCCATAACTCCAGAACCCGTGGTCTCTATATACCCTACGGCTTCGCTTCCAAGAAGAAGTCACAGCCTTTCAGTCCAAGACATCCACCGAAACCCATCGCCAAGCTGGGGGTTTTGACCAGTGCACCAATTTTCCACGTCTTCGCTTCTTTCATGACGCTTGCTGGACGTACAACATCTTGACAACGGCAATACGTCGCAGCTTCAAGAAACTTTGTGGAAGTTTTGCGTTACTTCCCAAATTTTCGTACTTGATCCAACTCACTCATCTGTGGCGCGTGTTTTTATTGACCCGCCAACCGCCTAACATCATGGAGCAAGTTAGCTTCGACGTTCGTGCCGAGGCGGGGAAGGCGGTATTTGACGATGACTTGATGCTAGAAGCCGGCATGCAAGCCGACGAGCTTGTCTTAGAACTCGACGACCTACATGACAAGGAAGATGAGTACCAGACGATCGATCTTGATGCCCAACCCGCCACAGCCGATGTTGAAGTCGCCGTCGATGACCTCGAGGCTCAACATAATACCAATGATGAGCAAGCAGAGGCGGCAGGTGGCGTCGAGCAAGATGCTCAGGATGTCTCCATGGCATACAATGACGAGATAGGTTATGAAGAGGAGGAGGGCGTTGCAGAAGAGGCTGTTACTGAACACGAGCCCGAAGATACCACTACATCAAAAGCGCCGTCTGCAAATGACGAGAATCCAGATCTACGTGAATTGGAACAGGAAGCCCAGGACGTCCCGATTGATCTTGCTGAGTCCAAAATGGGCGACGATGCGGAAGAGCAGCCGATCGGGCGTGTGGCCGAGACAAAGAACCTTGTTGATCAGGAGGCTACTGAACAAATTGCCGAGACCAATGTCGGTCTGGACGTCGGTGGTGTTGCAGCTACCAACCTCCTGGATACAGCTGTCTCGGGAGTTGAACAAGCGGGCGAAGCCGTGAGCGAGGATCGCCAGCTCGAGCAAAGCCAGATTGACCATGACGAGGCCATTGTTGATGATGCTGCATTCAGCATCACAGATATCACAGTCCAGTATGATGGTGGCAGTTATGCCCTCTTTGGGAACTCGGACATGGATCCTGAGACCTACTTCCTTACCGATACTGAGATCGCAACCGCGCCGTTGTCGGAATTACTTGCATCTATCCGCTCTGTCATTGCCTCGGAATTAACACCCGGAGAAGAACTGGTCATCGTTATTGACTCACTTGATTTGAACTTTGGCGAAAGGTCCAGCAAGGACTTTTTGCAACGCAGCTTTCATCAGATTATTTACTGCTACAATGTCCTTCTAGCTAAAGGAATCGTCACAGAGACATCCCTAACGCTCAATCTTTTGGTCCGTCCGGACCCCGAGGGCCGGTTCCTGGACTTGCTCGAGGAGGCAGGCATCTGGAGTGGAGCAGACTACTCTCCCGATTACTCAGATGCCTCCGGGGAGGATGAATATCTGGACGACGATCAGGACATTGAAGACTATGATGACAATGACAACGAAGGCCTCGAAAATGATGGTAATCATGAGGGTGTCCAGGATGCTGAATTTGATGACCAAGAGCATCAAGACGAGGAAGGCCAGCAAGATCAAGACCAAAAAGAGAAAGAAGATGACGAAGAGCCAGAGGTCATTGAGCTCACCGAGAATATCGAAGTTGCAGAGGATGTCGAGGTTACTGAAGACGTCGAAGTAAGCGGGAATGTAGCCGAGGTTGGGGATGTTACCGTCTCAGCTGGAGACATCCAGAAGGAAGCATCAGAGGAACACACGGAACGTCAGGTCACCGAGGATGTCCTTGAGAATGAGTGTCATACTGAGCAATTCTCGCTAGCAGACAACATCGATCAAGCTGTGCAAGCAGAGCCATCTGCAGAGATTAACGGGTCAAGTCACTTTGATGCCAGTGAATCCTCTCATGGCCCGACAGGCATCGTTGATGTCAAGCATGAGATGGACGGTGATCAGGGAGAATTTCAGCCCAGCCTTGAGGGGGCGAGCAGTGATTTGGAGCTTGCTCCTGAAACGAAGTCTGCTACTGACGAACCTCAGCCGGAAAACGGTGACCATACCGAAATTATCAACGAGGAAAAAGAGGAGGAGGTTTATGATGAGGACGAGTACATCGAGCATCATGAAGGGGCCGAGGCTGAGGAGCAAGACGATCATGAAATCGATCGTACAGCGGGTGCGGAGGAGCTTGGTGATGACTTGACACTCAGACAGACGTTGGATGACGGCAACTTCTCCCTCGATATCACGGAGGGGTCTACTGAAGGTAATGCAGTGCTCGGCCGTGACGACAATCGAACTGGTAAATACCCTTTTCTTTTTTCCTCAACCACACACAACCCCAGCACACACGGCCACATGGTCGTTTTGCACACAGGCAAAGCCAAGGATGACGATCTCATTGACTACACGGATGACGAAGGCCCAAACTATGCCATGCCTGTTCTTAAACGGAAGCCCGTGTTCTCCGACCTAGTCTTCGGGATGAAGAAAATGAGGTCCGAACAATTGGATGGGACAATGCCGCCACTCCATAGCAGGCCCTCAGACAACATATCCGGCGGAAGCCAACTTGCAGTTGAACTGCGACCCAATCAGCACCGCGGTCTTGCAACGTTATCTCCTTTCCGCTCCGACTCACCTTGTATCAAGAAATCCAACAGCCCCGTCAACTTCTTTGCACCCCACCGAAGCAGTGGCAGTCGTTTTCATTCCCACAAAGACTCCGATTTCAGCGTCACCTTCTCTGCCTACGATGATGCTGACATGCCCTATCAAGGAAACAACGAAATCAGTGCTTCGCGCAATCCCGACTCCACCGCCATGCAGGAGCAGTACACTGACGACGGCCCTAACGTGGACGACTATACTGAGGTAGAAAACGCGATCGATATCGAGTACACCCATGAGACATCGCATCTTACAGTCAACACCGCCGAACCCAAGGACCAGACCGAAGAAGGTGTTCAGGAGTTTACAGCCGAAGAATCGGCCAACCGCACGAGCACAACCAATACCATGAGCGGCGACGAGATTGACTACGACGAGAACGAGGAACAGGATGCATCGTTCGAAACAGAAGGTCAAATCCATGAGTTCAGCAACGCTCAAGATGACGACGAAATCGGATGGGGAGACGATGGAGAGGAGGACAACAATGATGTTACACAGCAGACTACAACTTCTCAAGACCAACCGCCCCTCACAGCAAAGAGAGGTCGGACTGATGACCTGGATAAGGAAGCCGAAGAGGCCGGTAAGTTCAACGAATAATCCGTACGGGAAAACATCTTGCTAATCAGGACTATAGATGTCAAGCGTCGTCGGACCTGATCGGCCAAACTCTGGCCTCGAATATAGCTTCACCCCAACACCTCCATGCCCCCCCGTTCAATCTTCCCAGCCCCATTTTCCCCTTCTCCTCCCCTTCCCCTTTAACCGCTGTGGATCAGCCATGTATTTTGTGAGTTGCTCTTGATGTTCTTGGTTGTTCTTGTTCGAAGAACCGACCACGAATGTGTGCTGAGAGAAGCTTTAAGCTTCAAGAATGGTAAGGTAAGTTGAAACGGATCGGCCGTATTCGATGGAACAAGTCGTGTCCCCCCTATTTCATTACTCTTCACCCGATCGGCAACACTTAACACCAGGATTCGCGACACCGATCTCGATAGCGCAGCCTACCTTCAGCCTGCATACAGCGGGCATTAACAATCGAAAATTCCGGGACGGCCTGGGGGACATGTCGCCCGAAGAAGCGCAATTTTGCTGAACAAACCACAATACATGGGGTATCTCAGGGATTGCTGGTTATCTTCGCAATCTTAAATTGCATACTTGGGACTTCTCTCCCTGAGGTCATTTAGCATAATACTCCGGCCTGTACTATAGTCTTTGTTGGCGTTTGGTAGAACGGCGGTGGGACACGGCTAGACTATCTTTAGGAGCCCTCGAGGCTTCAGAGGTGCATTTGAATTTGGTGGATATATCCGGGTAACATGTGGTCATAGCAGTCAAGACTATGCAACATGTGGTTGGAGCGGGGTTTTTAACGAGGTATGTAGAGCTTTTCTGTTTGGGGTGGCGCATTCGGTTTGGGATGGGTGGATACAGGCTCTGCAAAACCAAAATAGGCGTTGAGAGAAGATAGCGAAGGCGGACCACGTAAGGAAAATCGGATACTTGCCTGAAGTTGGGGGTCAGTTATCAGTTTAGATGGGGATGTGGATGAACATTGAGTCTTCTAATATCCCCAATATGGCAGAGAGTCATCAAAACCAAAATGCTAGATGAACTTGGCTGCAAGGCCGTGACTGTCGATCTGGCCACGTTGTGGTGGAAGCAGGAAGCCTCAAACACGGGCACGCAGCTCTCACTGAGAGACTCCACAGCATTCGTAATGTTTTGCTTCGCCACAGCCGGACCTCAATTGTAAATTATTTTGCATTTCCTGGCAACACAAGCTTCGAAGATGCGTATTGCATGCTTTGCCCGGTTACCACGTAGCAGTTGATGACAACCAATACCAGGAACAAAATTAGGTACCCTTTCTTCGCATATTGACATCAGTGGTTGAGAAACCCCTTTCCAGGAGACCGGGAGGAGGACGGGACGGAATCTTATCAAATCGCTTCTCCCCGTAACGGATCTAGGTTTAACTTCACATTAGTGTGAACCCATTGCTTCTGTTATGGCGATCAGTTACCGACTATGCGTAGGTTATGCGACTAGCTATTTTGTTCAACTGCAGGTAATTGCTGTAACACGCACGGTGATGTGATCGATGGAGGCTTCCCGCGGCCTGCGTCGGACCCCGTCGGCGTGGGTTTTCGAGAGAAGTGGATAACAATGGAGACGCGTGACGGAGGACAGCGGAGGAAAAGTGTGTTTCGATGAATGCACATGTTCCGGCGCTTCCAGAGTCACGTTTCGACTTGGACTGCTTATAAAGCTCAGGTCATCTGGATTTTGTTTCTTTCGTAGGTATGCGGATGGAACGTCCAGAACGTTTACTGGCGAAGTACAGTGGGTGCCACAAAAAAACGCCCCGTTTTTTATTTTCCACCTTAAAAGGCCAAAACTCACCACCTTAACAACTATATAACTTAGCCATCTATATATATATAAACGTACAAAAATCAAGATAAGTAGTTCTTTACTAGAAATTCTTTATTTTAATAGCTACTTTTTAGTAAAAGGTAAGGTAGTTGCAAAATTCTGGTGTAAAATCAAACCGCGAAACCAACTCGGATTTTCATCCACTAAAGTACGCTATAAGTCCACTATAATTTTCTCACCCACTCAACTCCAACTTTACACCGCAATTACACAACTATAAAGGATGTAAAGGAGATAAAACTCTTACTAGCCTTAGACTACGCTATTTCTTTCTCATACTTAATAGTGCATTAACTATTAAGCTTTTTTTGGAGGAAGTATCTCGGAGTGATTAAGTTGAGTTTTGGCTTTTTTTGCGGGGAAAAAAACAACGGGGCGTTTATTTGTGGCAGGGACTGTACATCATCGTCTCAGTGCGTAAATACCATACCATACCACAGGGGTTTTGAAGCATCGGAGATAAAATTTAAAAAAAAAGTGCCCCTATCTCATGCACACATATCAGCATGTTTAGACTCTCAACTATACCTAGACGTATGCCAGGCACAGGGAACCTCAATGAAGTCACCAAGACTAAAATAAAAGTGCGGGGCAGTGACCCTTTCGGGCCTACAACAACCAAATTTGGAAAGATCAATGGAAGGTCAGACACACTCGCAGCGAATCCACCCTGATGTCGAGGAATAAGGGAAGGAATGATCCTGAGCTTAACACCAACGCAGTTCAACTTTCCATCCCTTGAGTCGAGTACCAGAATAGGGTCCACCTGCTGGAGCAAAAATAAAGGAAGGCCGGGCGCCGGACGGGCAGCACGGACGAGGCTACGGAAAATATCCTTCTACATTCGAACTGCAGGTCGCGCTGCGCATGGAAAATCCCAAGTGACTGTGATGGCCGAGGCTGACCAGCGTGTTCGTCTGATACAGCCATCGCCAGTAATTTTTACCTGACTGTACACACGCGTTCGTCGGCAAACATCAACTTGTTTTCAAGTAGCGTGCTCGGACAGCATGCCCTGGACACCCAGACATTGTACATCTTAAGCACGTACGTACATACTTATAGATATGCAAGGAAGCAAGTGGTCCTGGCCCAGCTCGGGCGCTTTGGGATGGGGTTTTGAGTGGCTGACTAACAGGTACGGGCGCCCTCCCAGTCTTGAGAGTGACCAGGTTGCCATACTTATATCCAGGGGTTCGACCACATCTCCGACAGGGGTGCCGAATCCACGCCTCTTTGTGATTCTTGAAACGTTTTGGCTCCATGGTTTCTCCCTCCACCACTGGCTCGACACCCAGACACTGACTGCACTTGGCCTCACCACAGCGCCGACGCACCCATCGACAGCGACCACAACCCCCAGGAACACACACAGATTGCAGCAACAGAAACAGGTGCCCCTCGAATTGAAACCACCTGGCCCGCTGCCGTGACACTGGACAGTGCTACGGATTTTCCTAGCACAATTCATCAAACGCTACGACCTTCACTTGCCTTTATACCTGGGCCGCCCACGTACCCTGCGCGCTAAAACACCGTTCGAAGAACCGGAGATTCCCCAACAGCAACCTTGCCTCAGGGCACCACTGAGGAGGCACCACCACCGCCACCACCAACGTCCAAAACTCCAAGACGCACGACGACACCTTGCCTTACACAACCGATCTCGAACGAGCGAAACCACCCTGACCTGACCTTAGGGAGGGCCTGCAAAACAGACACACACAGCTTGACAACTCTCGCCGTCGTCGCTCTTTACACGTACCGATTGCCCCCATCCGTTACCATTGTCTGCCGTTCGCTTCCCGGGCGCGTAGCGGATGCATCCGAACCTCACGACGACCAACTAAGCCTCGGAATTCCTTTCTCTTCGTAAACCTCGCCCGGCGCGAGTCCCGATTTTGCTCTCCATTCGAACTTGGGAGAGACCAACAGCCACCACGGCTACCTTACGAACTACTGTGCAGCGCAATTCTTAGCTGTCGTTACACTCGTTTGATTTAAGATGTCGTGGATGTTGGAAGAAAAGTAGGCCAGAGCAACAGCCTCCCCATTACAGCCAGGACCTGGGTTCCGGTCAAGAGGAGATCATTCATACTGATGGATATGTGGACAGGTATATCGGTCTGGCGCTAGCCATGACATCGAGTTTAGCAATTGGTATGCTTGCATATTCCCCAGATAACGTTCAGGGACAATGGCCTCTAACATACTCCACCACGCAGGCACGAGTTTCGTGATCACAAAGAAGGTACCGTACCAGCATCTCGTCCGCTCCGGCCACACTTAAACTTGCCCCGGCTGCGATTACCAGATGCATAGCGAGAGAACATGCTGGTGCTAACACCAGCTTCTTGTAGGGATTGAATCAAGCAGAAGAGAGACACGGCTTCGAAGGAGATGGCTACGTATACCTCAAGAATCCCATGTGGTGGGCGGGAATTGGATGCAGTATGGAATACCCACAACCAAAAATCGCTGTTTTGTTAGAGACACCAAAAGGACTGACATTTTTTTCCCCCTATAGTGGTTGCTGGCGAGATTTGCAACTTTGCGGCATACGCATTTGCTCCAGCCATTCTGGTCACTCCACTAGGTGCGCTGGCGGTGCTAATAGGAGCTGTACTGGGATCGTACTTCCTCAACGAAGAGCTTGGAACCTTGGGCAAGTTGGGAAGCGCCATCTGTCTCATCGGTGCTGTCATCATTGTCCTCCATGCTCCCCCTGACGAGGATATCCAGACGATCGACCAAATTCTCAACTATGCGATCCAGCCGGGTATGTCTTGGCTCCTGATCTCGGATTCGCTTCACAGTGCCTAGGCTAACTGAATTTACCAGGGTTTCTCCTTTACTCGGCTCTGGTATGTGGCTTTGCCGGGTTCATGATCTACAGGGTCGCTCCGGTCTACGGCAAGAAAAACCCCCTCGTCTATCTTAGTATTTGCTCCACCGTGGGTTCGATATCGGTCATGGCTGTCAAGGCCTTTGGCATTGCGTTGAAGTTGACATTCGCGGGCAACAACCAATTCACTCATCCGTCGACCTATGTCTTTATGATCATCACCGCCGTTTGCATTCTGACGCAGATGAACTACTTCAACAAAGCACTCAGCCAATTCCCTACCAACATGTAGGTGTTGAAGGTCCAAGATCTGGTAAACCACTGGGGATTCAGCTAACATACATCTGTAGTGTTAACCCTTTGTACTACGTCACATTCACCACCGCTACCCTTTGCGCCTCGTTCATCCTCTTCAAGGGCTTCAACACTACCGAGCCTGTCGCCACCCTCTCGCTTCTTTGTGGTTTCCTGGTCACTTTTACCGGAGTCTACCTGCTCAACCTAAGCCGCGGCGATCCGGATGGCACCAAGCACCTCGCACGACGGAGCCGCGGCGATGCCACTGGTACCGACATGATCTCAGGTCTGCAAACCCGCATGAGTATGGAGAGACGGCGCTCACTGGGACGTATGAGCACAGGCAGCAACCGCGACCGCGACAGTCTTATGAGGGCTTACGACGAAGAAGAGGCGCTGGGGCTGGCCGATCTTGCCGAGGATTCAGAGGAGGAGGATGACGACCCCCGCTCGCCCATGATCGGCAGCTTCAGACACAGCAACGGAGGCCCAGTCAATGGAAACACAACGACGACATCAACAACACAAGGGGGACGTCTCGCCCCTAACGGGAAAAAACACGCGGTCGGCGATTCAATAGAGATGCAAAACAGGAAAAAGTCTGGAGAGAGATGAATACGATACCCCGATAACACAAAGCCGAGAAAAGGTCTTTTTAAACCCTTTCCTTTTTCCTTGTTTTCTTCTCTCTCCTGTTTTACTTCGCATATTCTTCTTCATCACGTACAATAGACCGACTAGGCTACTTGGGAACCTAAAGGGGGGCATGTCGGTTGTTGCATTTCTCTGTTAAACGTTTGCCGGTCTACAAAGAGAGAGGCGGGCAAGCAAGGCATGGGCTCAAGGCGCAGTCCAGATACTTATGTACCAAACCATTGTACCTACGCTATCTACTTCCACAGATGCACGCCTAGCCTTTAGTGCAACGGACGGGAAGTTCATGTTCCACTCTACCACGATGTCGAGCGCGAGAAACCAAAAAAACGGTGGGAATCGGTGTATGGGCTCCACCACCAAGTTCAACCGAACTTGCCTAATCTGAGACCGCAGTCTCGAGGTCCGCTTCAAGGAGAGTTCCCTCTTCTGAAGGGATAGTTGAAGATGTATCTGAGTGCATACCATGAAAGTCTTCAGGGTAAACGAAGAGGTATAAAGAGGGGCGTACAAGTGAAGAAGAACCCGAGGCACCCAAAATCTGTAACGAATGGAGCGAATTGATTGTCGATCTATGCACACAACACCTTTCAGGTTAAGCAGAGCAAAGACCGGAGATATAGACAACATATGGAATTGAGGAGGAGGAGGGAAGTCACAAGGGAATCATCTATATATGGGGACCAAGACGGATGGATGATTGAAAAACCAAAACAACAAGAAAAGTGTTATGCGTGTCCTGACTCTTCTTCTTCTTCTTCGCTGTGAGTTAACTGCAACGTGTGATATATTTCTCTTTCTCATTGGCGCCAAATACTATTTCACTCCCAAGTTGATTGTTCTTTCTCTCAAACATCCATATCCTTTTAGTCTCTTCCTATACTCGGGACTGGTGCCAGAACAAGATCACAATCACTTGTCTCGATTGAACATCCAAAATCGGTAACCGTGTATTTTAAAACAACGTCGGAGCGAGTGAGGACAGAGCTCACCTAGTGTGTGTTAACATTCATCAGTCCTCCTGTGTTCGTCAAATGTTTGGTGTGAAGCCATCGAGAATGGAAGATCTTGATCAGTTGGGCATTTGTGGGGCGTTGCCCTTGAGCTGACAGTGGCTGATGTTTACCTGCTTACATTCCATGGCCCGATGTAGGCCATGTTTCACATCAACAAACCTACGGACTTATTTCTTCACATGCCTCACTTAGGTCAGTGCCTATATTCCATTAATCGTCTCCATCATCACACAAAAGGATATGGCATAATTGGCAATCGCAAAACAAGGCAAGGAAGGAGGGCTTGTTCAGGTATCTTATTTCCCTGGCGAAGTCAGGAATATCCCGACGTTGCTGCTTTGATCGTGGGGTTACAAAAACGATTATAATCCCAAGCAACAATCCGTCCGCCATTTCCCCTTTTCGCAAGTCTTAATGCAAATGTGCTATGACCATAGTTGACGCCAAAGTGAACCCATCCATTTCCGCAACCCAGTGTTTGTTTGAGCTTGCAAGCACATTGAAAAAAGACCCCGCCCAAACCCAGCGTCCATTACCAACGAATGGGAGTATCGTCCTCGGCGAAATGGAACTCCGCCACAGGAGCGACCTCAGGCTCGTCGAAAGACACAGGCACCTCGTTCGAAGGCGAAACCTCATTTGACCCGACCTTGAGGTTATCCTACTCCTCAGCGGCAGGGGCAGCGGCCTCCTCCTCACCGGCCTGCTCCTCCTGGCGGGCAGCCTCAGCGGCAGCCTGGACCTGAGCGGCCTTAGCGCCGTAGTCCTGGCTGATGGGCTGGGTAACGGGCTGCTCCTCCTTGGGCTCGATGATGGTGACGGCGTCAGGGAGAGACTTCTGGGGGCCGGACTTGCCCTCGGGGTCAGAGCCGCGCATGATCTTGACCTTGATACCGAGGACACCCTGGCGAAGGAGAACGTGGCGAGTGGCAGAGTCGATGAAGTCCTTAGCGGGCTGACCGGAGTGGATCATGAAGCCATCGGTGAACTTCATGGACTTGGCGCGAGCAGCGCGGAGCTTGCCGGAAACGACGACCTCGCAACCCTTGGCGCCGGACTCCATGATGAAGCGGAGGACACCATAGCAGGCACGACGGACGGCAAGACCGTTGAGAAGCTTGTAGCGGAGGGACTCGCACTGAGCGACGGCAGAAAGACCGCGGTTCTGGACCTTGGCGGCGTAGAGGGAGACAGAGTTCTCGGGGAACTTGAAGCGCTTCTGGATGAGCGAGGTGAGCTCACGGATGCGGCGGCCCTGCTCGCCGAGAACCTCCTGGGTGTGGGTGGCGCGGATGATGATGTCGGTGACGGTCGGGGTAACGCGGACCTCGACACCGGAGTAGCCCTCCTCAGCGAGCTCGCGCTGGAAGAACTCGTTCAGCTCGGCGTAGAAAACGCCATCAGCGACGAACTTTCTGCGCTTGGAACTGTAGACAGAAAGAGAAGCAGTCAGCATCAACGCCGCTTTTGTTATTTTCCAAGCCACCAATTTCTAAATCCCACCCCGTCGGCTGAATCTGCTGCAACAAGCGGGCAGCATATCTCCCGGCTTCGTGACTGAACGCCTTCGTTTTGCATTTGCACCCCCACAGCAGCAGCAGATCGCACCGACGTGTAGACAGTCGTGAAGACGTGTAGTAGACATGTAGGAGGCTTCCATGTTCTTGGTTTGCTCTGGTTGCTTACATCTGGGTGCCGGGAACAGCCATTTTTGCGATTTGGCTATGAAGGTCCTGAGGGCTTCAATTGTGCTGCTGAGGAGGATGGAGTGGGATACCTTCTCGCGGTGTTCACCGGACTTTTCAAAAAGATGGGGGGAAATTCGACCGGCACAGCTACTTTTTTTGCGAATTCCTTGGTGGGCTGTCCTTTACCGCTTCTGAGTGGCTGGCCGAGTAGGGTTAACAGCCGCCACGGCTCATCCCG